ATATATATATATATATATATATATATATATATATGAATGAATGAAAAGCATTAGGCTAAACTCAGCTCATTTTCTGTATGAGAACTGCAGTTTATAGAAACTCTCAGTCTTTCTGATTCTGGTATGATACCTCTGACTGACTGAAATGCCTTTTTTCTCATACAACAATCATCAAAGCTTCACCTTGGGTTACAGTTATCACCAACTTTTGGATGTTTTAAATTGATAACGTGTATAATAGTATGCTGCAAAAAAGTCCCATAGAGTACCCAGCCATACTTGGGCTTAGTTGAGGATAGCTTGGAAAAGAAAAGTAAAATAATTGGCTTCCCACATTTTTCTGTGCCACCTTCACATTAATTTTTCGAAACATAATGTACTTTATAAAGAGAACTGTTATTTCCCAAATGACTAGACATGAAGAGAGTTCTTCAAAATGAGTCCTTTTGAAGTCATAATAACGAACATTTTAAGAAAATGAGCTCATAAAAAAAAAAAAAACCTAACTGTTTCTAATTCACATTGTTCAACTGTTTCACAAACGTTTATTGAGGCCCTACTGTGGGCCTTATACTCCCTTAGTAGCTGGACTTGCAGAGCTAAGTAAGACATTGTCCTTGCCTCCTAGGAGATTCAAGTTTAGGAAGAGAATTCAGTGAAGTTAATTGTTAGGACTGGTTTCCTATAGGAATTTGTAACTGAAGTGTAAAGATTGAGGAGGATTGCCCAGAAAAGCCGATAGAAAGGGAGAAGGGATCAAGCTAGGTACGAGGTACTAGGTACTATTGGCAGCTAGGTACTGTTTTTGCAGGGACAAAAACAGAGTGCTGAGCCTCTGGCAAAGGAGGTGGGGAGCTATCCAGTGGAGGGAGAGCAGGAGGCCAGCAGTAGTGAAGCCAAAGGCAGCCAGGGTCATAGGGAAGCTCTCCAAGTCAGGTGAACCCATGAAAAAGTATGAGGATTCTAAGCTGGAGAGCCCCAGGGCCAGATTGTATTGTTAGGTCACTCTAGAGGAACATTGGAATTGAACTGCAAAGAAAGTAAACAAGATTCATTGAAGCTATCATAGTATTTACTGTTTCTAAAGTATTAGCAGAGTATTTGTTATCTCTGTTTGCAAGTCCCTTGGAGGTATTTACATTGTATAGAGAGATATAGATTGTATACACAGAGGGGGAGGAGGAAGGGGAGATTTTTAAGAGAAATCCCAGGCTGTTTGTGGACATTTTTAGATCAAATGTCATTTTCTATGTATTTGTCTTTTCCAACATTGTACCCTGTGTGACATGAGCCCCATCTCACAGCAGAAAGGAAGGCAATTAAGAGAATAAGAGAAGGGTTGTTAGGGGCTAAAATTCTAATTGGGACTGGAGATGGTTATGACTCACATGTGAGATCCCTAAAGCATGCATTAGAATTTCTTTTGCCAACATGAAATGTAAAATAATCTTAGTTTTATCTCTTTTATTAAACATTAATTAAAATATCCCTCAAATGAATGAATATTTTATATAATTTTAATGTTATGCCTGAGCAGTTCATTTTTAGAAAAGTTGAGAAGAGAAAACTAGTCTAGTTGATGTCACTGTCTGAAAAGAGCCAAGGAATTGGAGTTATCTGGAGGCACAAATCCTTTGATAACAGCACATTTTGATCAATGTCCTCAAGAAGATGTTCTTCCCTTTGGGGATTTAGAGGTGTTCCCTAAATCAAAGGTAGTGTTGTTATTTAGGGGAGTGTCGATGAAGATTAAAAGACATAGAACTGAAAGGAAAAGTCTCTAATGGCCTG